GACTCATCTCCTCCACCTCACGGCAGGAGCGTCGCGTTTCAGTGTGGACTCTCTCCCTCCCTCTCTCTGGTGTCACTCGACCTCCTCATCTGACGAGGAAAAGCACTGTGATTCCTCTCTCTCTGTCTGACTTTGCTCTAGATCCCGGTGCTCTCGGTTTCCTCTTCGTTCTCTCTCAGGTAAGAAACTCCAAGAGCAGACAGAGCAGAATGGAGGCCATTAAGAAGAAGATGCAGATGCTGAAGCTGGATAAGGAGAACGCAATCGACCGGGCAGAGCAGGCCGAGTCTGATAAGAAGGCATCAGAAGACAAGTGCAAACAGGTGAGACACGCATGTGAGACTGATGACTAGAACTGATGGGGAGTTCAGTGAGGCGATCCTTACAGAAAGAGCTTGTGGTGCCATTGTACAGTGATGCTATCAGACGGTTTTACTTTCATATATGTTGTTTAAAAGTTTTGACACTTTACTGAAATTATATTTTTCATGATTTTTAAAAATCTTTTACTCTAAAGACTACTATTTAACTGATTAAAATTAGTTTTGAACACTAAAAAAAGATTTTTCAACAAAGATTGTTCAAGCACATTTTACAAGTAACTAATTCAGTCTACTTCAAAATTTCACATTTAATTCAACGATACTTGCCATTTCTTTGGAATTATTTGTGAAATTTACTAGCAATTTCTGATTGAAGATTGTTTGAAAGTAAATCCTACACATTTTTTCAGGATTTTTCTGCTAAATTGTTTAATATAAATTATTTCATCAGAAATTATATAAAATACAGTATATAAATCCCATTTTGTATGTATGTACTTTTCCAAATAGTTTTAAGATTTTTTGTGCTAGTGTCCACTGGAGTGTCCAGTGCAAGTGTCCAGTGCAAATAACAAACAAGTGTCCAGTGCAGTGTTCTTTCTTCAGTAGTTTAAATGCATCCCAGCATGAAACTCATGAAGTTGGCTGATGAATGTCCAGAGTGAATAGTGCTATGTTTTGATCATTACATCATTCCTAGACTTCCATTTGTGTTATTTCAGTTTTATCACATTACTGTTGTTCTAAACTGGCCAGTTTACCTGAATTCACCCTATGTAACGTGCTTAAATTAGGGACCTACACTTATAAACTTTCAATGTTTTTATGTATGTATCTATTTATTTATTATATTTTATTTTATTTCATTTTTGCAGTGATGCCATTGAAGAACCATGTTGGTTCTTTCAGTGAACAGTTCACTTTCTTCTAAGTGTGAAGAACATTCAAATAATCTAAAGAACCTTTTTTTCTGTGGAATGGAGAGATTCCATGGATATCAAAGGTTCTTCATGAAACCATCAGTGCAAACCTTTATTTTTAAGAGTGTAGCAGCCAAAGAAATCTCTACATGTAAATAATTCTCTATATTTTTTGCAACATTGCATTTGACTAAGGGAAACTGAAGGAAGGAGGATTGATTCCCAGACATTCCGGGCATCCGCGGGGATAGTGAGGGCTAAAGGGAGCACAGGAATAATCCAGAATTATATATATGCCATATGCCAGCTGTTTCTCTGTGTTTGGAGTTGTTTACAGCTCTCTGGAGTGCAGCATCTCACAAATCTCTCAACATCCCCAAACATTACAGAGATACAACATGTCTGAATTCTAAACATTTTCATTTCCGTCAGTGAGCTAATCTTTATATGGATGCCTGGAAATTTTTGAGTTTGCCTATTCCATGTCAAAATCCTTACTACACTCGTTTAATAGCCTTAACCTTCCATGAGACCTTGCCCTTCCACATAAGGTTCTTTATATAATAAGGTTCTTTAGATTTGTAAAATGTTCTTCACCAAGACAAAAGTGGTTCTTATAGGAACTGTTCATTGAAAGGTTCTTTGGGGAACCAAAAATGGTTCTTCTATGGCATCACCTCTTTTGGGAACTTTATTTTTAAAAGTGAATATTTTTTGCATTTAATAATTTTTCTTTATTGATAATTTTTACTAGTTACACATTTAAGTGTGATTATCTTTTTAACTATTTATGTTTATGTTATTTAGTTTAACTCCGATCGTTGTATGCAGAATAGCAAGTTTTTGGGAGAAAAAGGTCAAAATTGCATGTGCAATTCTACACATTACAATGGAAATAAATAAAATAATTACAAAATGACATATTAATAAATTATATAAAATATTTTGAATAAAAGTTTTTTTTTATAAAAACATTACTCTCTTATTAATAATAAAAATTAATTATTAATTTTATTTTTAATTAAAATGTCTTAATAATTAAAATCAGCTGTTACGTTATTGGTATTAATATCTTGCATAAATTAATTTTAACAACAACAAATGCTTACAAAACAGATTAACAAATATGTTGGATTCACTAGATCTAAACTGTAATTTATATATTATATTATATTTATTATATTATTTAGAACTGCAGCTTGGCTCTCACATACAGTAACAATCCTCATATTGTATATTGTATTAATATATATATATATATATATATATATATATATATATACACAACAAATCTGTTAATAATCTGTTTTGAAAACATTTGTTGTTGATTCCCATATATATCTCCAGCTTCAATTAATACAATATAATAAATAACGATAATTTCTGCATAAGACTCTGAGCTGCAGTTTAGACGTTGTTTAGTTTTGTCATGTCGCATGAAGCTGCTCACTGGAGGCGCTGGTGGAATGTAAGTGTTGATGATCAGAAGATTCCAGATTCTAGAATTAGAATCACACAAACAGAATTCCAGCTCAGTGATTTCGGACAAACACAAATGTCTTAATAATTAAAATCAGCTGTTACGTTATTGGTATTAATATCTTGCATAAATTAATTTTAACAACAACAAATGCTTACAAAACAGATTAACAAATATGTTGGATTCACTAGATCTAAACTGTAATTTATATATTATATTATATTTATTATATTATTTAGAACTGCAGCTTGGCTCTCACATACAGTAACAATCCTCATATTGTATATTGTATTAATATATATATATATATATATATATATATATATATATATATATAT